ACCGTTACCGTTACCGTACCGTAACCCGTAACCGTAACGGTAACGGTACGTACGTACTACCTCCTACCTACTACTAGTACGTACGTACGTATAGAGAGAGAGAGAGAGAGAGAGAGAGAGAGAGAGAGAGAGAGAGAGACTTTGGTCAGGTTTGTATTGGTAGAAACTGTAAATTCATTTGGGGGTGACTGAATAAGTCAAAAGTATTTATTGTGGGTGAAAAATACTGTCTCCAGATTATTGTTGTGTTATAACTACTTAATGACGGCATCTTAGTTAAATTTTTCATGATTTTCATGCTATATATATACATGAACATTTTTTTTTTTGGCCGAGCATATAAAAGTCGTTTGATGCCACCCCATTTATCAGATGTGAGTTCTGTTCCCCGCTCAGTTTGTCAAATTTATGGACTTTAAGCATGGGAATGGAACACTGAAGCCGTTCACCATTGACATCTGACTGTGGTGGTATCAATAAACTGCAGGAAACTTAAGTGTCAATGGAATTCTTTCCCAATTAGATAAATCGCTGAAGATTTTTTGCCGGTGCCGATGATGAAGAGTTGAAAACAAGCTATTTCAGTTTCCAAATTGACCAAAATGCAGTGATGACTTCATTATTTACACTCTGGTCATTGAAAATAGTCTATACTCTAGCAGATTGAAATGTGTGTTGAATTTCTCGTAGAAAATGCATGTGGGCATTATTCTACTGTTCCTCAACTTTGATAAGAGCAAAACATGTTCAAAGGAACCTTGGTTACGGCTAAAACAGACTTTAAACCACCTTGGAGATCAGCAGCCTATACATGCATTTTGCTATGTTAATCCTTTTAGATAAAGGAACAAAAATTCTATGGTATCTGTTTGGTTACAAACAGGATACTATTCAGCTCATCAGACATCCCGATGCCAGCAAACAGCTGGAGATTCTCCCTCATTAGCTCAAAATTTATCAATCAGCACTAGTGCTCCTCAGACATCTATTGTCATCGGATGAATTCAGGAGCTGTAAGTACCTAGTTCAAACCAAAAAGTATTATGTTACTCGGACTCTTACATAAAAAAATGGCCCTTCATATTTTTCTCCTCGAACAGTTATCAGATAAGATATTCCAGATTCATGATAAGACTACTAAGAACCCTCGTTATTTTTCTTTTGTGAGTTGTGAATCCTCATCAATCTTTCTTTTGAGAGTTGTGAATCATCATCATTGATGGCCACATAGTAATACATGCACATAAGTAATCAAGATTTCAATGTCTTTGAGATCCCTCTATCTTATTAGCTAGGCACCCTTAAAATGACAAGAAAACCCTTCATTTTCTTCTTTATTTTGTAACAGTTAATCTGTCAATACTTAGTTTTTTCTGAATTCTCTACACAGATACATTACAGACACCCATACACACATTCATACTTAAGTATGTCTATGCTGTGTACGTTCACTCAAACACAACACAATTATTATGTTTTTAGTTTCTTTCAACAACTGTATAAGCAGTTGATGATCATGACTGTATAAGCAGTCCCCAAGATCTTTTTGATATCCATACATTTGATGGCGAGCATCATGGTTATGTTTTACTATGATGTCTTTGTAGTCTTTTTCACTTTCACAGAGTCCTCCTATATAATAAAGATACCATGCACATCAATGGCTTAAAAGCCCTGTGCCACGTCAAATGTCAAACCGGTGGCGAACAGCATGCACGCTGGATAAAAAAGCCAATGAACTGTTCCTATTTGTCTGAATGAGTTTGATGTCCACAAGGAAAGCAAACATAAAATGGCGTATCATTTCTAGGACATTGGCTATTCTCGGCATTGGAGTAGTGTAATGATCTCTAGTCACCATATGAACAGTCAAGCTAAATTGTGTTCTAGGTCTGTTAAGAAGTAAAAAAAGAAAGAGAACCATATGAAAGAGGCATTCAAGTTTAATATGGAATACAGCAGCAGCATGGAATGCATTTTTATATTATGAACCATGGACAACGATTACTCATATGTAATATATTGACTTGTCGGGGGTGTGTTTTCCCCCACAGATAAGTCCCGCACAAAGAGGACTTTTCCAACACAGCAGCAAAACATCATTTTCAGAAAATGACCATATCATTCATAAATACCTAACTCTGAAACGGAACTGAGAGAACACTGGCTAATGGAACTCAACCAAATGGCTCACAAAAATTAGTGCATATATGACTGCTGAGTAAGCAACTTATAAGAACATGCATATATGACCTAAAGAAACCCTTCCATCATCAAGAAAGTTGAGAAATTTAATTAATTCTAAAAATGATGACAGTAAATTGTTTCATACTCCAAAAGGGGATCAAAGACGGAGCATACATATTTTGAATTTTGTCACACTTAGTTTCAAATAAAATTATTCACTCTTGTAAACAAAAAGAAAGAACAGTCAAGAAGTACTTGGTTATGGGAAAGTGTTATCTACTCCTCAGTCATCACCATCAATTGAAACAACAGACAGTGTTGGAGAGGGTGAGAACCAAGAACATTGTATGACCTAACAGTGGGCCCACTCGTTGTCCATCACCATCCATAATTAACAGCGATGATCCTAATGACTCTGGTTTTCCAGTCATTAGGACAGTACCATACTTTTTCTAGTTACCACACGAAGAGCAGACAGCCGGAAACTGTATGAACAAAGTAAAAATTAAGTGAAAATTATAGGAACCATGTGACAAACAAGTTTTTACCATGAATACTAAAAAGAAACTCAATAGTGCATTCGTGTATGATACCTCCTATGAAGATGCCCCCAATATGTTGGAAGGTCAGATTTAAATAAAATCTCAAGAAAAACATTAGAAAAAATAAATATGTCCAGATATTTTCAAAATTGATTGCTACAATCCCGTTCTGAAATTAACTAAAATAAACCCCCCAATAAAGTGAAAGGAGTAACACTTAGGTTTCCAAATAATTAAGTAAACCCTTAAAGACGAACAAAATATTGCTTCCTCATTGTCTCCCATCATTTTTATCTTGCATCCATATTGTAATTCTTTTGTGATAATGTTCAGATAGTTCTACTTCTCAGTATTCTAATTTTATGATTGTCAGTTAATTTTTTATTTCTAAATTCATGAAACATTTTTCGGTGTGGCTGGTAGGAAGCTGCTATACAAAGGGCTTTCTACAATGTCATCCATCCTTCTTGTTCTTGCACAATCACGAAATTCATGCACCATCAACTTGTTGCACAAGTAATTCCAATCGAGGCTTCCTAACAGACATTTCGAAAGTTTTAAATGTCCCCCTTGGATTTCTAGCATAATGACCAAGTGGTACAGGGCCCTTTGTCTCTGTAATGTAGGTTTCATGTTCAAATTATCCACTTTGACAAAAAAAGGAATAAGAATAGAGACATTCTAAAGTATGCCATGAGATGACGTCTATCCTACACACATGGTAATTGTGTGACATGCCATCATGCCATGTCACCCATGTTCGTACAATACGCATACTTAAACTAGTCACTTTAACGGATAGAACGAATTCTGATTGATTTCAAAGGGACTCAAAGCCTGGGTGAAGTGATGTTTTTTACTGGTAAAGTTGCACTCTCAATTACTGATCAATGTCAACGTTTGATTGTTGACATGCACAACTGTCAACTGTGGGGGCCCAAATTTATGTTCGGATGCTTGCTAATGGGCCGTTCGGACAGATGGTTTGAAAATGGGAAAGGTGTAAGCTGCCGAGAACTCCAAAAACTCTTAAAGGACCATCTTTCATAATACCAGGTTAACAGAAAGGTGATCCAATTTGATACAGAAAACTAGCCTTGGGATGTCATTTAACAAGGGCAATTACATTTAAAATAAAAAATAAAAAATAAAAAATAAAAAATCATTGTTCTGAGATTTTCAAAATATCACAAATTTGTCACCCTATAACAGAGATGAACACAGAAGAAAAAAAAGTGATCATCTTCATAATAGGTGAAAGAGGGACTGTACCTGGAAGAAAATGAAATGCCTAAAAATAAGCTTAATATTGAAAAGGAACGCGGTGAACAAATGTCCACGGTGAACAAATGCCTAAAAATAAGCTTAATAAGCTTAATAAGCTCATGTAATCATATGGATCATAAGTGTACTTTCCCCATATTTCATTCATAAAACAAATAAGACACATAAGAAAAACAAACTACAATAAATATTACACCTTACAGGAATATTTTCTTTATTTTCCCTTTTGGGTGATTCAGGGGTAAGACTCGAAATTGTGATGCAATGTTGCAATAGTCTATAACTAACCCATCAAGCTCAAGCCTGACTCCTAATTGTACAAAAATATTTTACAATATCTTAATCAACAGCTCAAAAGGAAAAATTGAAAAGTAATACACGCACATGTAAAAATTGAAATTCCAAATTAGTATATCTAAATTTCTTTGAAAGAAACTTACAAAAGTAATAATATTTATGAAGAGACCCGCTTTCTCTTTGAACGTTTGCTCCTCCTCTGTCCAGAATAATCAACAATTCTCTCACTGCCAGTGGAAGTATATGTCTCTTCAAGGAGTTCCTGCATTAAACGCCCATAAGGAGAAGGAAAGTCCCAAGACATTTTTATATGTTCAACAAAGTAATAATAATAATAATAATAATAATAATAATAATAATTATTATTATAATAATAATAATAATAATAAT